TGTGTGTGTGTGTGTGTGGGTGTGTGTGGGTGTGTGTGGGTGTGTGTGTGTGTGTGTGTGTGTGTGTGTGTGTGTGAAGCACCAATGGCAGGTGGCAAACTAGACAAAAATGGGAGAGGCGTGCGCGAAAATTGTCAATTTGGACCTAGATCCCTTAGAATCGATAGGTGTACAGGCGGGCTGATGGCAGATACACGACCGAAGATTGAAAAAGAGGAAATAAACAAAGTTGCTCAAATACGTTTGAGTTGAGCGGATTTTGCTCATGAGGGTCAGTGCGCTCATTAGCGGAATCCTGCTCAACTTGTGTGTGTCTAAGTGTGTGTGTGTGTGTTTGACCGAAAATTCATAACACCTGTCCTGCACCAAGGCGTTCAAATTTGGGAGGGCGTGAGCAGCAGGCCAACTTTGCGCGGAAAGGAGGAGAGGTTGGCCTTGGGAATCGTTAGATCGTCGGGCGATCCGACTAGTTACATCATTAAAAGACACCTAAGTTTCTCTTCGACATGATTTTTCGGCCTAACGAATTCTTCTATGCCGCAATATCCAGAGAGCACCACCGGTTCCATCACTCGAACTCCGCCGCGTTTTATCTATTTATTTGTGCTTCGCGGATTTTTCTATTAGGATGTCGCTTCTTTTCGATTTTGAATAAATCCTTTTTCCTCTCATTAATTCTTGCTTGCCACCGGAGCTATCGTAATTTGGACGGATCACGAACAATCCTGATGGCAGAACAAGCAGTGGACCTATGCAGTTTTTGGTAGAGGCCATAGTTCGCAGTTCACTTCACTCTAAAAGAGTTCACGAGCTAGCAGCACTTGTATGCTCGTGAACTCTTGGACTCACGAACTCTGAAAGTTTCCTTGATAAGGATGGAGGTGAATATAGGTGTGGAAAGAGCGCAGTCGTGGGGCACGCTCGATTGTCAGCTACTGGGATGTGGACATAGGCAACGTTATCTTGAGAAGACGTGGTCTATCATTGTTGGCCGATAAAGTGGACAGTACAACATAATTTAAATCTCTTTTGAAGGCACAGTTTACAATGATTTTGGATAATCCCGATTATGACGAAAAGTGGGAGATAACGTGGGAAGTGGTGCGATGAAGGCGAAGGAACTTCGCGAGTCGGTGTTTCCAAAGTGAAAAAAGGCCTCGAAAAAATCGTTGAAAACGGGGCTGGATGAGAATAAGAACAGAAAAATGAAGAAGAATGGGGTGTCTGAACGAGCTATACAATGTGTTTCATTACATACGTGTGGGTTTTGGTGTGAATAGCTCAATACGTTAAGCAAATATTCGTTCACTCATATCATAAGTTAAAGGCATTGTTCACGATAAAAAAGGTCACTGAGAATTACCTTATCCATACTCAGTGGCCCCCATGGGTGGTAGAAGGGACCTTCTCGCTCCCAGAATCACGACGGTAAGGGCATAGTGGAAGCCCTGTTGCTGCCGTAATCGGCTTTTCCGCCCCTCGATCGATGTCACGTCAGACGGGTGTCGAGACAATACAGATTGCAGTCATTCCCTCTGGGAGCCACACACAATCAGCTTGATCGCTGAGTGATGAGGCGATGTTTTTCTACCATTCTTTTAGCCTCTGCTATTCTTTTTGCTGCTGTGATCCCTTATTCATTTTCCCACTCCTAGAGGCTGAAAAAGATGAGTTAATTGCTTATAAGTCAATGAATTTTTGCTCACCGTAGTCTGTTATTCGCACCAGGACCTTCATGTACGCAGTGAGACACATTGTATAGCTCGTCCAAACGCCGCACTCTCCATTTTTCTGAACTCATTCTCGTCCAGCCCCCTGTTTAACGGTTTTCCGAAGCCTTTTTTCAGTTTGGAAACACCGATTCACGCAGTTTCTCCACCTTTATCGCACTATCTTCGATCTTGTCTTCATTTTTTCATCATAATCTGGATTACCCAAAGTTATCGTGAAGTGTGCCTTTAACAAGAGAACCCTAGCAACAGCAAGAATCGCCCACATTTTTTAGCCTCTTGGGATAGAAAATTTAGTAAGGGTTAGCAGCAGCAAGAAGAATAACAGAGAAAAAATGGGATACACATCGCCCCATCACTCGGCGATCAGCTGATTGTGTATGGGTCCTAGAACGAATATCGTAATCTGTACGGCCTCGACACTCGTCTGACGCTCCATCGATCGAGGGCGGGAAGTCCGGGCGATTCGGTAACGGGGCTCCCACTATGCCCTATCTGTTGAGTTTTGGGGCTCGACCGCGTCCTTCCTGTTACCTTTGGGGGTCACTAGGTACTTCTAGGGGGAGAACTGAAAAACCATTTTTATCGTGAAATGGGCCTTTACGACACTGAAAATCATGAACAGCTAAGGCAGAGTTAAGTTCCGATAGAACTATTATTACAGTCGACCTTTTTGGTTTCACCATCGGAAAAAACTTGATTGCGAATTGATACCATAAATATTTTCTCTGAGTTATTCATCGGGGACTTTCGAACTTTAGTAATATTCTCTTTTTTGATTTGGCATTTTTTTGCCCAAGTTAACTATTTTAATGGACATATTTGGCGGTCACTTCTGTTGCTAATGTCTCCAGCTATTGCGTAGTATTCGAAAATTCGAAAACACACTGAGAATTATTTTCATATGTGGCGGAGCATTGGTGGCCCGAAGTTTCAGACATGAGTTTCATCCATTCTTCCTTCTCTGGCGATGTCGCTTCTTTCGGCGATTGGAACAGAATTATCGAGGTAATGTGTCGATTCTAACAACAATATCCAGAACATCAGTGACCCAAAAAGGACCGAATCGTATTAACTATACCAGAAAACAATAAAAGAAGTATAGGAGGTAATGGTGGCTGAATGCGTATCTATGCGATTCCAGCCCATATGGCATGTAAGAGTTCTTGCAAGCGATCTGATGAGAACCTGTGCATTTCAACTCTTAACAGTAGAAGCTTATAAGAGCCGTAATTTCGTTTTTATTTCCTTGTGTCATAGTGTATACAAAGCATAGCAAGTCAGAACGTATCTACTTTCTGCAGGTTTTTCGCACATGTGATGGGCGAGGTTGGGCAGTGCGAGCGCTTCGAAATATTCGGCGTGGAACGTTCATTGGTGAATATACGGGGGAAATATTGAGTGACGACGAGGCAGCACGTCCTGAACGCAGCGATACTTATTTCTTTGAAACCAGAGTGGTAAGTTTCTTGAAAGATATCCGCAGACAATGGATTATATTCACTTGGAAGGGTATTGAATTTTGGTGTAGAAGTCGGAAGTTTAGGAAAATTTTAGTAACTAAGAACTCTTCACGATAATTCTCAATTTTTGAAGAGATAAATGTCTCCCGAATAGGTCAAATCGTTTAATGGCAATTCATCAGGTTGGCAACAGTAACTTGACGATTTCAAGGCACTACGAGTTGCATGTTGTAGATTATTTCCATTTAGAATGGCAATGTGTGTTTCCCTCCACAACTTTGAAATCCGTTTTTGTTCTTAATCCACAAGTATAGATGGACCAGTTGGGCCGCCCGGCTAACGCCGGGCTTCCCTCCTTCTCAAAGGGTCGCCCTTCTTCGCCGGACGCTTTTCCTTTTTGTAAGAAATTTGCTATGCGTGAATAACACTTCGGATTCTCCCTTTTCTTTGAAAGCTCTACACCCTCAGTATTAGCTCTGAATTGGAAGCGATTTTTCTGTATCACAATTAATTATATACTAATTAGAAGTTTCGACCCATTGCTCTTCATCTCGTAGTGTCAGATTGATGGCTTAACTGATTGACAACCAATGTCTTGAATGGTACCCAGAAATGGATGATACCGCCTATCACAGATGTCCTTATCAACGGAACATTTTCTCCTTGGATTTTTCATTAATTGGGAATCCCAAATCATTAGCGGTCAGATGATTTAGTCACAAATGATATGTCACAAAACAAAAAGGAGTCGTGGTACTTCAACGTGTCACAAAGCTTACTGCGTAACGGTCGTAGTCTAATAGCAAGAAATGAACGAAATTCCCATTTCGTCATTGAGAATAGTCTCTGATCGGTGGCTATTACAGCATTTACAGCATTAAAGAGTCAATGTTTGATCTTGGATACCCCTTTTGCTCTCCAGGACCCCTTCTCAGTTCTTATCAGATGTTATCAGTTCCTGTCACAGAGTACCTACGACCACGTGACATCCTACATTGCCATCTTTGAAAAGATTCCACTGTTGTCACGAAGGGGATTGCAACACTTGCTCGCTTGTTATTATCTGTCCTTATCACTAATTAACTTCTTCGCTTCACATCCTGCACTATCTGCTGGAATGCTCAGTTGTTAGTATGAAAGGCGTTGTAAAAGCTCTGCCGTTAACAGGAAGTTAGTAACGGTTCCTGTGGCTCTCGCTTTTCAAGGCTCTTTATCAACTCCTTTTAATTGTTATCACCGCTTATCACCTACCATCGGTGTTCCTATCCTGCTTCCTGTACTCTTACCAAATTTCAACGCAATAGCTCCACGTAAACAGGAGCTGTGAACTTGCAACCTAAAATTTTTATCGCGCACGCTCCGCCCCCTGTAGGCGGGGTTCGAACTTGCCACCTGCCATAAGCGTCTCCATGCCACCCCCTGCACTCCTACAAAATTTCAACGCAATAGGACCGTGTAAACAGGAGCTATGAATTTGCAACCTAAAACTTCTATCGCGCACGCCCCGCCCCCTGTGGGCGGAGTTCGATTTTGCTACCTGCCGTAAGTGTTTCCACGCCGGCCCCTGTACTACTGCCAAATTTGAACGCTTTGGGTCCACGGGAACAGGAGTTATAAATTTGTGACCTAAAATTTCTATCGCACACGCTTCGCCTCCTGTGGGCGGAGTGTGGGCTTACCACCTGCCATAAGTGTTCCCATACCACCCCTTGTACCCCTACCAATTTTGAACGCTTTGGGTCCACTGGAACAGGAATTATGAAATTACGGTCCAAAATTTCTATCGCGCACGC